TCCCCGCCCCTGTACCATCCCTGCTTGCAGTGCTGGTAGTCAGTGCATTGGCCCTCTGTGTACGTGCATGAGAGAGAGAGAGAATATGTTTCTTCTCTGTCTCTTGCAGTCCAGAGCCTGGACTGGGAAACCTTTGAGCAGTACTGTGCCTGGCAGCTCTTCCTGGCCCACAACATCCCCCTGGAGACCATAATCCCCATCCTGCAGCACCTCAAATACAAAGGTGAGTAGTGCTGTGGGTAGAGAGCATGGGGGAGAGGACACTCCTGGTCCTAGAGGCCTCTAGGCTTCTAGCTGAGCCAGATCCACTGCTCCCCTTCCCACCGAAGGGTGGAAGGGCGGGCGCCCTGTCGGTCGCTCCTGCCCTTTAGATGACTCCTGCAGGCCCACTCTGAGCCCGGCACGGGGCTGGGGCTCAGGTGGCTGGGGATTTTATGGGAGTTGGGTGGGGGATGTTCTTCCTGTCCCTTGCGGAAGATTGTCCTTGCTCCTTCCAGTGGTTGGGGATGGGAGAGGTGCCAGGATTTTTTCCTGTTTTTATGCATTCCTCTGAACACCCTCTACCCTTCCCCCACAGAGCACCCAGAGGCCCTGTCCTGTCTTCTGCTCCAGCTCCGAAGAGAGAAGTGAGTTCCACCCCAGGGCCTCTTTAGCTCCTCATCCCAACATGCCAAGAGATGCTGCCATATAAAGGGCTTCTGTCTTGCTCCTTTGGCCATGTTTTTTCCTGTTGTTGACATCTGCTTATTCTGCCCTTCCCCCAAGGTGATTTACAAATAAGCAGCTCTCCTGGGATCTGGGCTTCCTCTCGACTTTACCCCCCCTGCCCACCAGGAGCTGCCCTCGGAGGTGGGGACCGGACATCCCTGTTTCCTGCTGCCACAGCATTTCTAATCCCCGGTGGCTGCTCCCCTCCCCCACGCTCCTGAGGCCACAACATGGCTAATCCAAGAGGGGGAGGGTCAGCACAGAGGGGCCACACACCCCCCTCCCTCTATCACAGGCGCTTTTCCAACAGCCCCAGATAAATGGGGCAACAGCTGTGTATCCTTTCCTTCCTACCTCCTTGCCTGCCTTCCCCCTTTTCTCCTCTCTTGCCTGAGAGACTAGAAGCGGGACAGAGTGTCCTGAAGGAAGTGGGCAGGTGGAGGGCTGGGTGGGGCTGTGGCTTCCCAGCCTCGTCTCCTGCGCCTTCCTCGGCTGGGCAGGGCTAGGGGGCGTCCACACACCACATGCTGGTCCTCTTGCCTCCCTGGCCCAATTCCTGACTGTTCTGGGCAAAGTAGGGGATATTTGATGGGCCTCCTCCCAACACACATGCACGCACCTTCTACTACCACAGAAACTGAAGAATCTCACTTCTTGTCTCCTGGCTTCCGCAAACAATGAACCCAGGCATTCCTTGGCCCAAAGTGAAGAGGGAGGGGGATGTGAGAGTAGGAGGCTACAGCGAGACTCGTGTGGAACAGGGATGGGGAGGCTGGGGTTTGGCAAGTAAGTAGGTGGGAGAGATCCAGCGGTGCCTGAGGCCAGCTGTGCGAGCAGTTGCCCACCGCCCCTCTTACACCCCCAGGCCCAGCGAGGAGATGGTGAAGATGGTGCTGAGCCGGCCATGCCACCCTGACGACCAGTTCACCACCAGCATCCTGCGGCACTGGTGCATGAAGCACGATGAGCTGCTGGCCGAGCACATCAAGTCCCTGCTCATTAAGAACAACAGCCTCCCACGCAAGAGGCAGAGGTGGGACATGGGCCCTGTGGAGACCCTCCAGGCCAGGGCTGCCCGCTGTCCACAGCTCCACCAGGGCAGTCCAGTGCGATCTCTGCCTGGTTTGTGGGCGACATCTAGTGGTCCGAAGCTACATAGCATGCAGGACCACTGTGGCCCCTTCCCCTCTTTTCCTAGTGCCCTGTGGCTGGTCCCTGATCTAGGCACACCTCCCTTCCCCCACTCCCCCCCTCCCAGTCCTCCTCTCCCCCTCCCTGGAGAGTCTGCCTCTCTCTGTCTTAAGGTGGGACCCTGATGGGGGAGGGTGTCTCCCACTCCTGGAGCCCTCACCTCAAGTTCAGACTCTCGCTCTCTGACTTCCCCACAGCCTGAGGAGCTCCAGCAGCAAGCTGGCCCAGCTGACTCTGGAGCAGATCCTGGAGCACTTGGACAACCTGCGTCTTAACCTAACCAACACCAAGCAGAACTGTATGCTTCCCAGCCCTCTCTGAGTCTGGCATGCACCATGCTGCTCTGGCTCAGACCACCCCTGGAGCCGAGTGGGGCGGGGGCAGGAGAAAATACCTCTTGGGTACCATTGAATAAGCCCCAGACATCTCATTGTTCTTCCTTTCCTGCTCTCCCTTCCTTTTCCCTCTAGTTTTTAGCCAGACCCCAATTCTGCAGGCTCTGCAGCATGTCCAGGCAAGCTGTGATGAAGCCCACAAGATGAAGTGAGGCTCCTTGCGCTTTTGGCCTTGGGAAGTAGTGGGAGAAGGCCTGGGGGCTGGGGGGGCCTGCGGGGGACACAGACTTAATGACCAGCAAGACCATGGGGTTGAGGAGAAATAGAGACCTGGGTGTGGAGCAGAGAAACGGTCGGAAGGGCGGCCATAGGGCCAGGCTGCCCCCGCTCTGAGAGCTCATGCTCCTCTCCCGCAGGTTCAGCGATCTGTTCTCCCTGGCCGAGGAATATGAGGACTCTTCCACCAAGCCACCCAAGAGCCGGCGAAAAGCAGCTCTGTCCAGCCCCCGAAGTCGAAAGAATGCCACACAGCCCCCCAATGCTGAGGAAGAGTCAGGCTCCAGCAGTGCCTCGGTGAGACCCCTAGCCATGCACGGGAGGGGCAGGAGCTGTGGGGTGCAGGTGGAGTTGGGCCCAGCAGCTGCCCAGGCTACTGATCCCCACCCCCATCTCTTCCAGGAGGAAGAAGACACGAAACCGAAGCCCACCAAGCGGAAACGGAAAGGGTCCTCTGCAGTGGGGTCTGACAGTGACTGAGGCCCTGTGCTCCCCATCCCATCCCCAGTTGGACTGCCCTCCCCTACTTGGTGAATCACAGGTTATTAGGGGCTGGGGAGATAGTGGGTGAAACACCCTCTCCCCATCCCAAAGCTCACCCGGTGGGAAGCCCGTGCTGCCTCCTCTGGCCCAGCCTGAGAGCTGCCATGCAGCCCCCAGCCCCTCCTCCCTTCTCTCTGGGGGCCTCCGGCCCCATCACACTGCTGCTCCCACCGATACTCGGGTTCCCACTGAAGCCAGAGGCTGTGCAAAACTGGGCTGTGGTGGAAGTCCTCAGCCCCCCGCCCCCTCCCCCAGCCTCCCAAAGAGCTGTTTCGAAATAGAAGAGAAATGGCAAAGGGGAGCTGGCCAGAGAGGCCAGAACAAGAGTAAAGACTCAGTGTGTGGCGCCCCTTCCCACCCCCCTTTCAGGTCTTGATGTGCTCTGAGCAGGCATTACAGTCGCTCTCCATACACCAGTACGACACGGGCATTTAACCAGTGACGTGGTCAGGCTGCAAATGCCACCAGTGTTCAGGCAGGAACCCGAGAGGGAGGCTACAGCCCCACCTGGTGTGCCCTGGAGGCTTGTGTTGGCCTGTGGTTGGCACCTCAGGCTGGGCCAGGGCCCCGGGGAGGCAGAGACACCCTCCACAGAACTGTCAAATGGTCCCACTTCTTTGATTCTGTCTTTTGTTTCTTTCTTTTCTTTTCTTTTGGCAGAGATAATCGTGTTTTAAACATTGTTTTTAAATGACAATAAAACAAGCCAGAACCTCTTTTGTGCCAGAGTTGCTGCCCCCACTCACCCTGTGCACGTGCAGGTAGTGCCATTTAATTGGCAACGCTCCTTGTGGCTTCACAACTGCCCCCTTTTCCCTTCCTGCCTGCCCCCCTTCTTGCCTGGAGCACAAGGTGCTTGGCTTTGCCCCCCATCCTTCCTGCTGCCGCTGGTGGCCTGGGCCAGGCACTGACCTGTCCAGGCAGAAATTGATGCCAGCACCATCTCCTCATAGGCTGAAGTCTGTCCTTACTCATCTCAAGAAACTAGAGGCTTCCAAAAGCTAGTGCTTGCCATCCTCCAGCTTAGTCAGTCTGTGCTTGCAGCTACTGGAGGCCTCACCGCGGGGCTGAGGGCTGCTCCCTCTCTCTGGAAGGAGACGAGGTGCCTGGCGGAGAGGATTCAGGTACCAGGGAGAAAGAACCCTCTTTCTTCCAGTCTGGCCACTTGCTGAGCCATGGGTACCAGCAGAAAAGAGCTCCTTGGCTCTGCTTTTGTGCCCTAGCGGTCCAGGGAGGTTGGGTGGCAGGCTGAGGGGAGAGGAGTGAAGTTTGGGCTGACTGCAGACAGCACCTCCTATTTCAGCCTGCACATGTGTCTTGTACAGAATCCAGGTTCTCCCGCATCTCAAAGCTGCTACTCTTTCCTTTGAAAGGTCTAAACCGCCTAAGGCCCCCTTTTCCTTCCTCGCTCCTTCCCAGTTTCCTCTGCCCCAATTAAAACCAGGATGGAAAGCATTTGCTGGCTGGCCCTAATTATTGTACCCTTGCCCAAAGGGAGGGGCCTCCACCGTGGCCTCTCCAGGAATCTGTCTGGGCCTCCACCTTTCCCCTACTTAACTCTTGCCCCCACCACCCCATCCCCTGGGGTTGCTGCTGCAGCTGGCAGCTGGAGGGAGGGCACGGGTCTGGCTCTCTTGCCGGGACTTGCAGCTCCAAACAGGCAAGGGGCTGAGTTCTTCAGTCTTTCTTGGGAGAGCAGTGGCACCCTCCCATCACGGGTGGAAAAAGGGATAGAAGAGGGAAAGATGGACTGGGAGCCAAATCAGACCAGGACTTCAAAGTCTAGCCAGTTGCCTAAACTGCCCTTGAGGAGAAAGAACCTAAACTGGGACACGACCCAGGGATTGAGGAAAGGCTTCAGCGCTGACTAGGACCTGGTAGGGTGCGGGCTGCGGGGAGTCCCGGAGGGAGCGCGTCCAGGGCGGGGCATAGTCTTGGGGAGGGCCAAGAGTGCGGGGCCGCCCCTGTCACACGCACTCCTCCCCGGCCTCTGCTCGCCGCCCGTGGGGAGGGGGGAAGCTGGGTGGGAAGGGGCGTGTGCCAGCGCACGCGCGCTCCCGGGAAGGAGAGGTCTAAGAGCAGGAACGAGCGGCCCCAGTTTTTGGGAAGGGAGTATCCGGGCTGTCTGCAAGCGGCTGGGACCAGACGGGGCCGAGTCGAGGAAGAGGGCACCATGGCCGCCCTCCTGCTGCTGCCCCTGCTGCTGCTGCTGCCGCTGCTGCTGCTGAAGCTGCACCTCTGGCCGCAGTTGCGCTGGCTCGCGGCAGACTTGGCCTTCGCGGTGCGCGCTCTACGCTGCAAACGGGCTCTTCGAGCGCGCGCCCTGGCCGCGGCGGCCGCCGACCCGGAAGGTCCCGAGGGGGGCTGCAGCCTGGCCTGGCGCCTCGCGCAACTGGCTCGGCAGCGCCCCGCGCACACCTTTCTCATTCACGGCGCGCGGCGCTTTAGCTACGCGGAGGCCGAGCGCGAGAGCAACCGGGTGGCGCGTGCCTTCCTGCGTGCTCGAGGCTGGGACTGGGGGCCCGGCGGCGGCGCAGGGGGCGCCGGGGAAGGAGAGCGGGCGTCGCACGGCGCCCGAGACGCGGCGGCCGGAAGCGGCGCGGCGCCGGCGGTGTGGGAAGGGGATGGCGCGGCCGGAGCTGGAGAAACCGCTGCCCCTCTGGCACCTGGGGCCACCGTGGCGCTGCTCCTCCCCGCCTGCCCAGAGTTCCTGTGGCTCTGGTTCGGGCTGGCCAAGGCTGGCCTGCGCACGGCCTTTGTACCCACCGCCCTGCGCCGGGGTCCCCTACTGCACTGTCTCCGCAGCTGCGGTGCGCGCGCGCTCGTGCTGGCGCCAGGTAAGGCTGCAGAGCCCACCCGACGGGGGCGGGACCAGCCGCAGAAAGGGGCGTGTCAGGGAAGGGTTGGGGCTCGCAGGGAGGCAGAGCTATCTCTGGGGTTCTGAAAAGGTGAGTGGGGATATGAGTCCCTGGGTTTGTGAAAGGATGCAGCTGGGTCTTTAGTTCCCAAGGATTCCCGAAGAGTCGGGCTCCAGGTCCCAGATCCGTGACGGGTCGTCCGTAGTCTTCACCTTCACCCAAGAACAGTGCGGAGCAAGGAGGGGCGGGGGCCGGGGGCAATGGGCTAAGGGGTGGGGAAGGCCTCTCCGTAGCGGTCGAGCCGCCCGAGCTGTGCTTTCCCATCCCATCCAGAGTTCCTGGAGTCCCTGGAGCCCGACCTGCCGGCCCTGAGAGCCATGGGGCTCCGCCTGTGGGCTGCAGGTCCGGAAACCCATCCTGCTGGAATCAGCGACTTGCTGGCTGAGGCATCGGCTGAAGTGGGTGGGCCGGTGCCTGGGGCCCTCTCTGCCCCCCAGAGCATAATGGACACGTGTCTGTACATCTTCACCTCTGGCACCACGGGTGAGGGCTGGACACCGTGCTTACCTCCCAGAAACTATGACAGAGGAAGAAGGGAACAGGAACTGTGACCTCCTCAGTTCCCCGGCTACCCCTCCAACTCCCCCCGCCCAAGAGGATGCTAATCCCAGCGGCCATATCCTCTCTCTCGCCAACCTCCCACCCCTCTTCATTTCTCCACCTCCCCAAACTTCCCACATTTCCTGGCCGCCCTTCTTCTCGGCTTCAGTCTTGCCTCCGCCTCTTTCTGTGGGAAACCCAGCAGGGGCCAAGAGAGAGGCAGGGCTTGGAGGTCGGGCCCTTCCCCTGATCTCCCGACCCCCACCCCGCAGGCCTCCCCAAGGCTGCTCGGATCAGTCATCTGAAGATCCTGCAATGCCAGGGCTTCTACCAGCTGTGCGGCGCCCACCAGGAGGACGTCATCTACCTCACCCTCCCACTCTACCACATGTCTGGCTCCCTGTTGGGCATTGTGGGCTGCCTGGGCATTGGTCAGTGTCCCCCACCCTAACCCTCCACTCAGTCCCCCAGCACGTGTTTGTTCCAGCAACCATTTATTAAGTATCTGTGTGGTGTGCTCACCTGGGGATGCTTCCTGAGTCCTTCAGGGTAGAGAATCGAATGTCACAGCAGGGCCTTCCCGGGCACCCCACTACAGTGAAGGCTAGTGTCTGGGAAGGAGGGGGTCAGGGCTCCCGTGGAAGCCTTTAAAATCACCTCCTTCCTCCTCTTCCTCCCCGCTTCTGGCAGGGGCCACCGTGGTGCTGAAGTCCAAGTTCTCAGCTGGTCAGTTCTGGGAGGACTGCCAGCAGCACAGGGTGACAGTGTTCCAGTACATTGGGGAATTATGCCGATACCTCGTCAACCAGCCCCCGGTACGTGGGCACAGATCCCGGGCAGAGCCGAGGCAGGCAGATGGGCAGTGGATGGGAGACACTGAGACAGCTGTCAGGATGCTGGAGGGAGAGGAAGCAAGGAGAGGAAAGTGGCAGGGTGGGAAGGAGCCTGGGGTGGGAGGACAGCTGATGCTGAGGGCATCTGACGGAGGACATAGTGCAAGGGGCTTCTGGGGAGTGGGAAACAGAACTTCTCTTTGGGGAGCTGGCATCTGGGTATTGAAGCTCCTGCCGATCTCCCGACTCCTCTCAGACCAAGGCAGAACGTGGACATAAGGTCCGGCTGGCGGTGGGCAGCGGGCTGCGCCCAGACACCTGGGAGCGTTTCGTGCGGCGCTTCGGGCCCCTGCAGGTGCTGGAGACGTATGGTCTGACAGAGGGCAACGTGGCCACTTTCAACTACACAGGAAGGCCAGGCGCTGTGGGACGCGCCTCCTGGCTTTACAAGGTGAGTAGCGGGGAGGGAACTGGAGGACCCGAGGCACTGGGGAGGGGCTGGCGGGGAGGGGCTCATGCAACTGAAATGACCTTGGCCTGGTCTCCCTTCCCCAGCATGTCTTCCCCTTCTCTTTGATTCGCTATGATGTCACCACAGGGGAGCCGATCCGGGACACCCGAGGGCACTGTGTGACCACATCTCCAGGTTTGTCCTCAGGTGGAGTGGGCGGGGGTGGTGGAGCTGGCAAAGGAAGGTTGGAATTGGAGAGTGGAGTCAGAGGCAGCCACCCCTGACCCCAGTGACTCTGCCAGGTGAGCCAGGGCTGCTGGTGGCCCCTGTGAACCAGCAGTCCCCATTCCTGGGCTACGCTGGGGGGCCAGAGCTGGCCCGTGGAAAGCTGCTGAAGGATGTCTTCCGGCCTGGGGATGTTTTCTTCAACACTGGGGACCTCTTGGTCTGCGATGATGAAGGCTTTCTTCGCTTCCATGACCGGACTGGAGACACCTTCAGGTATCTGTCCATAACCTCCTGAGTCCTTTCCTGGGCATCTCATCTCTGTGCCCAAAGCCCCTAACCTCCCCGCCCTAACCTCCCGCCCCAGCCCAGCTCCTCATCCAACCTCTCACCTCACACCTGCAAACCCTGCTGCCCTGTGACCATCTGCGCCCTCCCCTCATCCCTGACCTCTTTCTCTCCCCACCCAGCTCATAAGGCCCTGACCTCTGACTCCCAGTGTTACATCTCTGCTCTCTGGCAGGTGGAAGGGGGAGAATGTGGCCACGACTGAGGTGGCAGAGGCCTTGGAGGCCCTGGATTTTCTTCAGGAGGTGAACGTCTACGGAGTCACTGTGCCAGGTGCTGAGGCATGGGAGGCAGGGGGCACCCGGCCCACCACCCTGAATGGGTGGGTGTTCCTCGGGTGCAGGGAACATGAGGCCTTGTGGTGGTCAGCCACTGCAGCTGACCCTGCCCCCACCTGCCCCACCACCCAGGGCACGAAGGCAGGGCTGGAATGGCAGCCTTGGTTCTGCGTCCCCCCCACTCTTTGGACCTTCAGCAGCTCTATGCCCATGTTTCCGAGAACTTGCCACCTTATGCCCGGCCTCGATTCCTAAGGCTCCAGGTAACCAGCCACTCCTGCTCCAACCCCTCACCCCAAATATCCGCAGTGGTCAGTGGCTCCCAAGCCCCACAAAGGGACCCCCATGTCATACACCCTGTGAAGAGAAAGAACATTTCCTTCCCAGACACAGGCATTCACCCCCTTCGCTCCCTGTACCCCTCCTCCAGACCTGGCTGCCTCCCTTCCCTGTCACCCGCTCCCCTAAACCCTGACCTTGTTCACGCCCTTTCCCCAGACCTGCCCCTTAACAAATGCAGGGAACTCGCCTGAACCACCTGGGCAGAGTACCCTTTCTCCAGCTCCCTCTGACGTCCCCTCCCCAGGAGTCTCTGGCCACCACAGAGACCTTCAAGCAGCAGAAGGTTCGGATGGCAAAGGAGGGCTTTGACCCCAGCGTACTGTCTGACTCGCTCTACATTCTGGACCAGGCTGGGGGCGGCTACGTGCCCCTCACCCCTGCCCGGTACCATGCCCTCCTGGCTGGGGACCTTCGCATCTGAGAGCCCTGCATGCCGAGGCGCCTGAGGAAGGGACTTCGCGGGGCGGGGGCACTGCAGGTGTATGGGGGCTAGCAGGGATCTTTTCTATACCAGACTTGTAACCATTATTTTGTAATAAATGGGGCTGGAACCAGTCTGCCTCTGCCTTTCTGATCTACAGTATCCCTCTTCCCTGGCTGTCTGTTGCTCCGCTTGCCTCTGATGTTTTCTCCTGGCACAGAGCCCCTGCACTCCTGCCCAGAGTTTATGGGGGCCGAGCTCAGTGTCTGGGCCTCGTTATTGTTCCTCTCAGGGGCCCTGTGGGATCCTTGTCCTTGGAGAACCCCTGGTGACTGATATCTGTTCTGTGTGCGACCGCCCCAGTCACTCCCTGAGCACGGGGCCCCGCTGCTCTCTCTGGGGAGCTGGCGGGCCTGAGGGGTTTGCTCAGTGGCAGAGGTGGACAGAGGCATGGAGACGCGCCCCCGTGGCCAGTGGAAGCATCTCCACAGACTCAGGTGTGGTTGGGGCCTGGGGAGGAGTCTCAGCCAGGCGAAACCAAGGTCTGATTTTGGGGAAAAAGATACTCTAGGCGCCCTCTCCCCTCACAGCTCTTTGATAAGCCAGTCAGAGGGGGTGGAAGGGGGGGGGGGGCCACTCAGCCCCCAACTCAGATGTTCCTAATTTTAGCTAATCTTAGTCATACATTCCCAGAAGTAGCAGCCCAGGTAGGGGCCCCTCAGGTTCTGGGAGAGTTTGACTGAAGCCCCTCCTTGGAGCAGGGCTCGGAGCCTGTGTGTGCGTGTGGTGCAGGAGGGATGGGGGGATCAAAAGGAAAAAGGCCTCTCCTCGGCCCCCTAATGAGGCGTCAACTTTATCTCTCCCCTCCCAAGTCCTCTCCCCAACCTGTGAGGTCAGGGGACGCGCTCCCCCACCAACTGTGGGTCTCTATGGCTCACCCTCCTGCTCCAAAACGTACACCTTGCCCCGGCCTCCACCAACAAACCCAATTCGGAATCACCAACAGACTAATTGAAGCGCACGCTGAGGGTGGGTGACATCTTCACACACTGACCAATAAATGAGGAGTCTGGCCCATTCTGCTGCTCACCCCTCTCATCCACCCCAAGAGGCATGCAGTAGTTAGGGTGTGCCTGGGGGTGGCAGGGGGTGGGATGCGGTGGGTAGGCGCGTCACGTGGCTACAGGCGGTGCCTCCCACAGCTGCCCTCTTACAACCTCAACTCAGCCCAGGTTTCCCAGGACTCTGAGCTGAGCAGCCTTGTCCTCCCTCATGGGATCACTCAGCCCGTTCTTGCCCCCACAATCCCTGTTTCATTGGGTCTAAATCTGCACTGTCCACTAGGGTGGCCGCTAGCCGCACGTGCTTATGGAGGGCTTGAAATGGGGCCAGTCTGAAGCGAGACGTGCTATAAGTGTAAAATACCAGGTTCCAAAGACTTAGTTCCAAAAAAAAGAATTAAAATATTTCCGTAATAATTGTCTTTATTGCTTGTATGTCGAAATACTATTTTGGATGTATTGGGTTAAATAAAATATATTAAAATGAATTTCACTTGTTTATTTGGACTTTTGTAAATGTGGCTACTAGAAAATTCAGAATTAAATATGAACCAGGTTGTATTTCTACTGAACAGTGCTGGCCTAACTCCTCTCCCACACCTCGCTCTGCAGACCTGCAGATGCCGAGTGTAACATGGCGGGTGGATCTGTGTGGCGCCTGCTCTTGGGTGTCTGCGCTTCAGCAAGGACAGCTCCGAGGGGGGAGTTCTGGGCCAATCAGCAGAGCCAGGTGTCCGGGGCTGGCCTTCCATCCTCCAGACCAAGCCTCGGCTCTGAGCCGGCTTTGCCACAGAGGCTGTAACTACTGGCAGAAATTGAGGGCTGCTAGAAGGCAGACCTGTGATCCAAAAGAATTAGGTTTTCCATTTATCACAATTAAAAATAAACTTGAAAAGAATTGTTTTCCTACAAAATATCCTTTGGTGTAAAATAAAATGGAATTAGGAGATAATTTGTGAAGATGGACTAGGTCAGTCCTCAGGTGGTGCTGTCCCCTCTCAGGAGGCTGGTGCTCCGCTCAGGGATGTGGCTGGAGGGCGGGGACCCGGGAACTTGTGTCACCCCTGCCTCCAGTCATGGCTAGTCTCAGTGCTGTGTCTGTGGATTCCCCGGGGCATCTGACAAATTGAGGGACCCGTAAAGGCCCTGGGGGCAGCAAACCACACTGCCTGGCTTTCTTTACAGCCAGCCAGTTAAGAATGGTGCATATATATATATAATTGAGTTCTTAATAGTTTACATCATTGTGAAATTTCAGTTGTACATTATTTCTTGTCTGTCCCCACATAGGTGCTCCCCTTCACCCCCTGTGCTCACCCCCTATCCCCTTTCCCCTGGTAACCACTGAACTGTTTTCTTTGTCCATGTGCTTGTTCATATTCCACATATGAGTGAAAGCATTTGGTGTGTCTATCCCAGTCCAGCTTATTTCACTTAGCATAATTCCCTCCAGGCCCATCCATGTTGTTGCAAATGGGATGATTTTGTCTTTTTTATGGCTTAGTAGTATTCCACTGTGTGTGTGTATATATATGTATACCATATATATATATATATATATATACACACCCACCACATCTTTATCCAGTCATCAGCCAATGGGCATTTGGATTGTTTCCATGTCTTGGCTATTGTGAATAGTGCTGCAATGAACATACGGGCGCATATGTTGCTTTGGATTGTTGATTTCAAGTTGTCTGAGTAGATATGTTAGTTCTTTCTTTAGTTTTTTGAGGAATCTCCATACTGTTTTCCATAGTGGCTGCACTGGTTTTTATATTTTTACATGACTGAGAAAACAAAAGATGACTTCACGACATGTAAAAATTACATGGGATTCAGCTTTCAGCGTCCATCGGAGTTTTGCTGGAACAGGCCACTTCATGCCTTTCTAGGTGCTTTCACGACTCAAAAGCAGAGCTGAGCAGCTGTGACAGAGACCCCACGCGGCCCTGGGCAGAAGCGCTCCGCCACCCGCGCTCCGGGGCCTGGTCCTCCCGGCCGGGGCCGCAGATTCCCCCGCGCCCAGGGGACGAGGCCCGCGCCGGCGCCGCCGGGGCGCGGGGACGGGGCGGGGGGGGGGGG